CACTCCATTATTAGGGGTACAGAAACCCAGTGGGCAATGGATGCTTCAGGACCTTCATCTCATTAATGAAGCTGTAGTTCCAATCCATTCAGAGGTTCCTAATCCTAATAGTTTGCTAACTCAAATACCTGAGGAAACAAAGTGGTTCACAGTTTCGGACCCAAAGGAAGTCTTTTTCTGCGTGCTATTGCATCCTCACTCCCAATACTTGTTTGCTTTAGAGGATCCCTCCCACCAGACTACCAAGTTGACCTGGACAGTACTGCCTCAGGGGTTTAGAGACAGCCCCCACTTGTTTGGGCAAGCATTATCGAAAGACCTCTCTGAATTCTCTCATCCTCAGATTCCAGTTTTACAATATGTAGATAATAATCTCTTCTGTGCCGCAACTGAGGGGCTTTCTCAAAAACGCACTGAGGCTGTTCTTAATTTTCTAGCAGGTAGAGGATAAAAAATTTCCAAATCGAAAGCTCAGCTCTGTCAAACTTCAGTAAGGTACATAGGTCTAGTCTTGTCAGCAGGGACCAGAATATTAGTTGAGGAGAGGATCAAGCCTATTTCCTCCTTTCCCTTTCCCAAATCCTCAAATAGCTAAGAGGATTTTGGGGATCTTTGTAGATTGTGGTTACCTGGGTACAGTGAAATAGTTCACCCTTTATATCGCCTTATAAAAGAAACTCAAGTAGCTAAAACTCACTCCCTGGCCTGGGAACCTAAGCCTCAGAAGACCTTTAATCAGCTAAAGCACGTCTTACTTAAAGCATCCACCCTTAGTCTTCCCCTAGGGAAGGCATTTAATCTGCATGTCTCAGAAAGGAAGGGAACGTTTTAACTTTGGAGTTTTAACTCAGGCCTGAGGTCCAGCCCAACAGCCATCCAGTAACCTAAGCAAGGAACTTGACTTGATGGCTAAAGAATGGCCAGCCTGCTTCTAAACAGTTGCAGTGGTGGCTTTGCTGGTGCCAAAAGCCACTAAGCTGACGACGTGGAATGACTTGACTATTTACACCCCTTAGAATGTTGCAGGACTCCTATCCTTTAAATCAGGTCTCTGGCTAACAGATAATCACCTCCTCAAATAGTAAGTTTTACTGCTGGAGGAATCTGCAGTTGGCTCACATCTGTAATCCCAGCACTTTGGGGAGCTGAGGTGGGTGGATCATTTGAGGTCAGGAGTTTGACCTGAGTCCCAGCTACTCAGGAGACTGAGGCAGGAGAAGCCCTTGAACCTGGGAGGTGGAGGTTGTAGTAAGCCGAGACAGTGCCACTGCTCTCCAACCTGGGCAACAGAGCAAGACTCCATCTCAAATAAAATAAAATAAAAAATAAAAAGAACCAGTGAGATGTATATTGAAGAAAATTATTGAAATCCATTATACACAATTACTGATTAACTGCTTAAAGCTTGGCATACTAGGTCCTGTGAGCTTTTCTTTCTGTCTGTTAGACTGGGGCACTTCCAGAGAAGGAACCATAACACTTTCCTATATAAAAGTCATCGTACCCAGAAAGTGCCAACCACAAAGCTGACAGTCAATTCATGTTTCTTAATTCTCAAAGTTATATTCTAGACGTAAATTACACTAGAGGATTAGAATATATAATAAAGTATAAATTATGTGATATGAACAATGAATCAATTTAAAACATTGTGAAGCCAGGAGACACGCCTGATGCTTGTTGGTACCTCCTACAGCCAACATGGAGTTTGAAAGTCTTAGCTCAGTGGTTCCAGACTCTGGTTATGCATTCCAGTCACCTGTGCAAGGTTTATAAAAACTGACACCATGCCCCTGCTACAGATCCATTAAGTCAGACCGTTCAGAAGTGGTGCATATATCCATGTGTGTGGGGTGGGGGGGGTTTGTGTTTTCCACTTGATCTGGTAAGCAGTTTGGATCAGGCACTTATCTGCTTACATAGTTTCAAATATTCCTAAGCAAGTTGAAGGCACGTGGCCAGCTAGTAACTCACCGTTTTCCAAACCATGAAGTTAAATCACAGTCTGTGCAGCAGACATGGAAAATAGCCAACTACTCATCTATGAAGAGGGCTGGTCTATCTGAGCCCAGCACCACAATGTCAGCATAGCTCTGCAATTATCTATCATTTGATGTGCACTTTAAGATGTGTATTATGTGGGAGAGTGGTATTTGCCAATTTAAAGGGTCGAGAATGCATCAGGATTTAGTCCTCATGAATTTCGTGTACTTAGAGAGTGACATAATGCTGTTTGTGCTTATTTTTGGTGAGTTTATATAGCTGATCTCTTACTTTCTAATTTTCTTATTTTCAAATATAAAAGTAAATATATAACAGGACTATTGGGTGTGACATAGGCAGTTGTGAAATGAGTTAATATTGATATAAGCACAAACTAGAAAAAAATTTATAGGAAAGTGAGTGGAGCTTGGCTTTGAGAAATGCACAGACATCCTTCAAATTTACTTTCATTCTACACAAACATGTATGTGGCAGTTTAAATTATCTTAGAAAACAGCCCTGGTCTTCAGAAGGCTCTGAAATATGCATCTTTCTTTTTCTGATGGGATACCCAAATGGAGTTTCTTAATTCTTGCCAATGTTAGGTCAGTATTCATTTTCACCCACTGAATTTTGAAATATAGAATGCACTAATCACTTGTACAGAAGCAGAAAATATACAAACAAACTGGGATTGAAAAGTTTACTTCATGACAATTTGTTCTTTGAGTCGTATTTTCCCTTATTTTTTGTGTTCAAATATGTCATTATATAATTTAGAAACAGATGCTATTCCTCAGCTAAAGTGTCGTCTGCTCAATGCCATGTTGTTTCTGCATCTGGTATAACTAAGTGAGCGCTTATCATAGCTGTACTTCTTGTGGAAAACAACTGTCAACTCTGGAAAAAAAGAAATGTACTACAAGCAAGGAAGAGTGCAGAAAAAAGGAAGATTTTAGAGTGGACTTGAAACTTGGAAGAAAGGAATGTCTGGGGTTTTTATTCTATTGATAGGCCCATGTCAGCTCCAGCTTGGTGACTAAACCCTGATAGAAAAGACCTAAGAGTCTTTCTGTTATGAAATGAGACCTCTGGGAAATGAAGGACAATCTTGTAAAAAAAAGATAGCCAAAAGCGGGTAGCCCTACGTTTTGTGTATATACTCTGCCCAAATCTCTGGCTAATTCGCAGATCATAGATGTGCAGGATATAATTCATTTAAAGAGAAAATATTTGTATGAGATTCAAGCTGACATCCAAAAGACGATGTGTAGTTCTTGCCAAATGATGCTAACTGCCCTCTAGAAGTCAATTATTTTTAACAGAATCCAGAGTCTCCACAATGTAATCTACATAATATCCGAGATACAATCCAATATTATGCAACATACATGGAACCAAGAAAATATGCAACATTATCAAGAGAAATAAATTGATCAATTGAGAATAATCCCAAGGTGACCCTGTTGTTGAAGTTAGTGGAAAGCAGCTATTATAATTATGCTCAAGGATGTAAAGGATATTCGTGTCATAAATGAAAAGATAAGAAAACTCACGTAGAAGTAGAAACTCTAAAAAAGTATCAAATGGAAATTATAGAACTGAACATTACAACATCTGAAATGAAAAGCCATCGCTGGGTGGCTTTAGTGGTGGAATAGAATTGGCAGTGGAAAGAGTCCATAGACATGAGGATAGATTAATGGAAATTATTCACTCCGAAACACGAACAAAGCGTTGGAAATTTGTGAGGCAATATGAAAAGATGTACGTGGATTTGGAATTCTAGAATGAAAACAGAATGAGAGTGAACTGTTTTTAAATGTGAAGGAAAAATGTTTCCCCTTTTGTGGAGAAATGTTTTCACAAAATGTTTCTCCAATATAGTGAAACATAAATTTACAGATTCAAAACAGCTCAGTGAACCCCCATCATTGTGAATGCAAAGAAAACCACGCCTAGGCATATCATAGTTGTGTTGGACAGTGCCCTTCTAAAATGGATGTCCCTTCTGGAACCTCAGAACGTGACCTTATTTGGAAATATGGTTGTCGCAGATGTAATCTAGTTAAGATGACATCATATTGGATTAAGCTTCACTCTAATCCAATATGACTAGTGTCTTCGTAATAAGAAGAGAAGATGAGACAGAGACATGAGACACAATGCCGTTAGAGGCAGAGATTGGACTGATGCAGCTGAAAGCCAAGAACACCAAAAAATGAGCATCACTAACAGAAGATGGAAGAGCCAAGGAAGGATTCTATTCAGAATCTCAGAGGGAAGACACCTTGATTTTGGACTTCTAGTTTTCAGAACTGTAAAAAAAAAAATTCTGTTCTTTAAAGCTACGAATTTTGGAGGCTGAGGTAGGAGAATTGCTGGAACCCGGGAGGCGGAGGTTTCAGTGAGCCGAGATCGCGCCACTGCACTCCAGCCTGGCGCTTGGTAACAGCACAAAACTGTCTCAAAAAAAAAAAAAAATCTACCAAGTTTTGAGTTTTCCGTCACAGCATAACTAGAAAATTAATGCACTCATCTAAACACTTAAACCAAAGATAAAATCCTGAAAGCAGCTGAAGAGAAATTACATTATAAATGTTTATAGGCAAACAAAGATGTAAATTATTGCTGACTTTGTATTAGAAACTATGGGCAAGAGAGTGCAATATGATTTTTAAAATACTGAAAAAAATATGCCAACATAGAATTCTATATACGGTACAAAATATTGTACAAAAATAAGGTGAAGTAATGACAGTTTTAGAAAAAAAAAGAAAGCCAAGAGAATTAACCACAAATAATGCTACATTAAAATGTGTGCTGTGGCATGTTATCAGCATGACAATTAATGTGATTCATCAGAATGTGTTAGATTTTGACCCCCATTCTGAACTACTCATATGTGAATGTTTCGTTATGGGCTGAATGTGCCTCCCGCTCAAATTCTTTTGTGATATCCCTACCAGCAGTGTGGCTGCATTTGGAGATGGACCTCTAAGGAAGTAATTAAGGTTAGTGAGGTCACAAGGGTTAGGTCCTGATCCAATAGGATTTGTCTTTATAAGAACAGACACAGAGTGTTCTCTCCCTTGCATGCCTGCTCTCTCTCTCTTCCCTTCCCTGCCCTTGCCTCCTTGTGCCTGCATAAAGAAGAGGTCATATGGACACATAGTGAGATGGTGGCCTCCTACAAGCCAAGAAAAGGGGGCTTAAAAAGAATCCTACCTGGCTGGCACCTTGATCTTGGACTTCCTAGCATCCAGAACTGTGAGAAATAAATTCCTTCCCTTTCTCTTTCTCTTCCCCTTTCACTTTCCCTTTCACTTTCCTTTCTGTTTTCCTTTCCCCTTTCCATTCCTTTTTTTCTTTCTTCCTTTCTCTTTCTTTCAGTTTCCTTCTCCCTCTCTATCTCTCTTTCTCTTTATCTCTTTTTCTTTTCTTTCCTCTTATTGGAATTGTTCTTTATTTCCCAGACTGGAATAGCTCACTGTAGCCTCAAATTCCTGGGCTCAAGCAATCCTCCCACCTCAGCCTGCTGAGTTGCTGGGATTATAGGTGCAAGCCACCATGCCCAGCTTGTGAGAAATTTCTGTTTAAGCCACTAGCTTGTGGTAGGTATTTTCCAATGGCAGCCTGAGCAGATTAATACAATGTCCTTTAATTTAAAATAAATTTTCCCTAAGCACAGCAAGCATTTCTATTGGTAAGTGGAAGGCTCAGTCAGTCTTTATGTATGCAAAAGTATTAATAGAATAGGCCTGGGTATGAAAGTGTCTGGTGTTCTGTCTCAAAGTGTCTACCCACTCAGGGAAATAGCTGGGAAGCAGTCACGGCACTTCTCCATTGTCTTTTCTCCTCAGTGATACGTGCCTGGTTCTATGAATTTTTTTCTCAGACTAGACTGATCTCCTTTTGTGCTGATTCTTCTGTCTGTAAAATCTCTTTTCTAGGAGCAGTTATATAGTATCTGAAAAGTGTTTAAACTATTGGATCATTTTGGAATGTATACCAAGAAAGTAATCAGTGGTATACATAAAAATGTTTTATTATAACTGTATGAAATCTTTGAATAATCAGAATATATTATGTATGTGTATAATATGTGTTTATAATATACACTGGTTAAATACATTGGGATAAATCCTTTTGATATAATGCTAAGCAGAATGCTACCAAAGAAGTAAATTATCAAAAATACATTTTTTTCTCAGTGATAATCAGTGATTTTTTTCAACACCTTAAAAATTTTCCCTGTTTTCTACAACGGCATGGAAAATTAGAAATGCCATTATTAGCAGCTTTATTGAAGTATAAATGGCATGCAGAAAACTGCACACCTTTAAAATATACAAGTTAATTAACTTTGACATATGTATAATCTCATGAAACCATCACCATAGTAAAGACAGTAAACTGTAATATCACCTCTAGACATGTCCTTGGGCCTTTTTGCAATCCCACCCTTCTGCCCACCCTGACCTTTTCATTCCCAGGCAAACACAGGTCTGACTGCATAGAAAATTAGTGTTTATTTTCTAGAATTTTGGATAAATGGAATCATACAGTTTGTGCCCCTTTTATTAGAATTTTTTTTTCACTTAGCAGCATACTTATTTTGAGATTCATTCAGGTTGGTCTGTGGATCAATAATTCACTTCATCCTCTCTTGTAGAGTAGTATTCCATCTTCTGGACATGTCATCATTAACCTGGGTTGGTCCTAGGTTTTAACTCCTGCAAATGAAGCTGCTTTGGGCATTGCATGTAATACTTTCTGTTGTTTTTCACGTCTTTGTATAAATCTCTATTTCCGTCTAATACTTTCCTTCTTCTGAATGACTTTCTTTAAGATTTCTTATGGTGAGTCTGCCAGCAGGTGATGAATTCTTTCAGCTATTGTATATGTTAAAAAGCCTGTATTTTACCTTAGTTTTGGGAGAGGCTTCCCCCGTGGTGCAGAATCCTAGGTTGCAGGGTTTGCTTACTTCTTTGACAACTTAAACAGTGTGGCTCCAATGTCTTCCCACTTGCACATCTCTGATGGGAAATCTGTCCCCCTTCTGGTAGTTCCTCTGTATGTAACCCGTATCATGTCTGGGTTGCTTTTCTTCTTCACCTCTGCTTTGAATCATTTGATTATGATGTGTTTTGTTGTACAGTTATTCATGTTCTTGAAGTTTGTTGATTTTGTTTGATCTGTAGATTTATAGTTTACATTACATTTTGGAAAAAAAAAAAAAAGCTTGAATAGCTCTTCTGTTACTACTCTCTTTTCTCCTTGGGGATTCCAATTACATGTATACTAGATTGCTTGAAGTTACCCTGCATCTCACTGATGCTCTCTCCCCGGCTCTCTCTCTCTCTTTTTAACATTCTTTTTTTGCCTTGTGATTTTTTTTTCTGGGTAGTTTCTGTTGCTGTGTCTTCAAGTTCACTAATCTTTGGTAGTGCTCAATTGCCATGGATCAACCTAATGGACTATAAAGTTTTATAGCCTGGCTAGTAAGAACAGATACTCCCCAGTGTGTGACCCTGACCCTGGGTTCTAGTTTCTCTAACCTTTTTGGGTGGTTCTCCACCTGGCCTTGGGTAGCATTTCTCACTCTCATGCTTCAATGCTTAAGAAGGACTCTCTGTAGAACTCAAATACTCTCTCTGTGCATCTTTATCTAGCTCCGAGTGCCTTGCTCTCCTGGGACTCTCAGCTCTGTCACCTCGACTCAGGGATTCTGTTGGCTTCTTCCTATTTTATTCTTTCAGTCCACAAACTCCCAGAAGTCAGTATGCTCAGGCACTTGTAGGGCTCACCTCGTTTCCGTGTGATCACAGGGACATTTTCAACTGTTGCTATTGTTTCATAACCTTGTCTGATTATTTGGTTTCTTCATTTGAGGGGATACAATTAGCTCATTACTCCATCTTGGCAAGAAGCAGAAGTCCCTAGGATGCTATTTTAAACAATAAAAACACCTTATCTTTTCCTCACATGTTACTTTTTATATCTTTTCTTCATATATTACTTTGTAAGATTTCTTTAACTTTGTGTTTAAATCTTCTACTAAGAGTTTCATTTCTGCTACCAAGTCTCTAAATTCCAAAACCTCTCCTCTCCCCATTTTTCTTCTTTCCCTTCTCTCTTCCTTTCTTCTTCAGTCTTTCTTTTCTTCTCTTCTCCATTTATTCCTCCTCTGCATTCTCTCCCTGCCTCTCTTCCTTTCCTCCTTCCTTCCTTTCTTCTTTCTTTTCTCATTATTGAAGGTTCTTTTAAGACACTTTTTTCTTGAATGCAGTATCTGTACTTATTTTTCTGCCATTATTAGTTATTGCTGAGTTTACAGTGCCTCCTGAAAAGTTTTGGTCTTCTCTAAAGTGGAGTTTTGTTGATTTTATTTGTATCCTCCAGGTGACATGGTTTTCTGGTGACCCGTGGCAACTGCCCACAATGCACGGGAGGACTAATCACTTTGTGCACAGCATCCTGTCTCATCCAGTGAAGCCAACTTCTGGATTATTACAGCAGACACCTCCAACCCCCTTATCTGTCTATGTAACCTAGTCACATTTTTTTTTTTTTTTTTGAGATGGAGTTTTACTCTGTCACCCAGGCTGGAGTGCAGTGGTGCAATCTCAGCTCACTGCAAACTCCCCCTCCTTAGTTCAAATGCTTCTCCTGTCTCAGCCTCCTGAGTAGCTGGTATTACAGGCATGCACCATCACACCTGGCTAAGTTTTTTTGTGTATTTTTAGTAGAGAGGGGGTTTTGCTGTGTTGGTCAGGCTGGCCTTGAACCCCTGACCTCATGATCCACTGCCTCAGCCTCCCATAGTGCTGGGATTACAGGCGTGAGCCACCTCGCCTAGCCGCAACCTATTCACTCTTTAAAGCACACATCTTGTTACAACTCTTCCATGGAAAATCTCTCTCTTCCAGGGATAAGCAGGGCTGTTGTTGGTGTGGCTCACAAACTGAATTCAGCCAGCATGGTGGTATTTGATTTTACTTACAACAAACAAAGAACTGTTCAGATTATTAGACAATCAAATGTAGATACCTTTGGAGTCAGAATCTTTCCAATTCCTCATATCTCTCTATTCCTCTACAACTGTAAGGAGAGAAAAATAAGAAGAATAAGAGCCTCCCTCAGTGGAGAGGCAGACATATACACCTGGTGATCATCAGCATGAGCATGCCTACCCTGGCACAGGTGCATCAAACAGAGCCCGGTTCTGATTTACTTTGCCTCAGGGTGTCAGCAAACGTTTTAGAGAGGGGGAATCAGAAAACCATCATGTGAAATAGATATAATACATGTAAGACCGAATTACAGTGGAGTGAACATTTCTTTCTTATGAATGTTATTTGTGTTGTGTTACTTGTTCTATTCAGTGACATGCTGTGACCTAGTAATTTTTATAAGTGGACTGATTTTCAGGTTCATGTGGGCATAAAATAAATACAAAGCATCTAATGTGGACTTGTGTATTTCATTTGGAGAGCCTCAATTGATCTAAATCTACTTTGCAGCTTTTTGTTCTTAATTTTGAATTTCTTTAAACAAGTAAAATATTGAAGACATTTGTGTAGAAAACCTGTAACAAATTGCATTTGGCTCAATATCTGGTTATGATTCAGATATGCCAGCTCTTTTTCGTTTTCTTTCTTTTTTTATTTGATAAATACTTAAACCAATTCCATTTAGAGCAGATACATTACATTTCCACTAGAGGGAGGAAAAGTGCTAATTTTGAGCCTTTATGAGGGAGCTGTGCTTTGCCGTGATAATCACTTCCCTCATTACACACAAACTGTGCCTGGAAAAACAACAGTACTTCCTTTCATTTTTATTTAAATGTCTGCTCTAATGGGAAAACAAAGGACAAAACAGGGAACATTTCTAGGTCAAAGTAGCAGATCTTTAAAAGTGGCTAATTTCTTGCTTCAAGAATTCTAAATACAGCCCCAGGGTCAGAAAAATATTCAAAGGAAAACCTTGGTGATCATGGAAAGCCATCTCTTTCTTTAATAGTTGTGAAAAATGAGGCCCGTGGAGAGGCCTGCCCTGCCTAGGGTCATATAATTTGTTGGCAGCAGATGCATGTGAGAAGCTCTGCAGTTCTTTTTCTAGCGCTCTTTATAATGCAGTACGGTCTTAGCATATCGGATGCAGTAAGGGACATGCATATCCACACACATTTTAAAGATACGTGTATATGGATGTATGTATTTTCTTCCCTGGGAGGTAATGATTTGAAATTTGGCATTAAGAGACATTCTGGGGATTTTATGTGTCCTTGTTTATTTGCTGTTTACCCCTCGTCATTGTATAACTGGATGCGCTGCTTGTGTTAGATACAGCTAATGGGCTCCGCAAGGCCCAAGCTCTTGTAATTATTGAGCAGTCGCCAACATACTGTGGTTTAGAAAACACATCGTAAACTTTTCTGTGGAGTCTCCAAAATTTTTATTAACATGCATGACATTAATGGTCGTGCTTATTTTGCCATAATTGAGGGTGTGTCCCATTTCTCTCAAATAAGAAGGCATTCCAGGGAGCTATCAAATGTCCCTTTTTGCTGAACCTGCTCTGTAAGCTTTTCCAAACCTAATGCATTTATGCTCACCTTTGAGATGGAAAAGATTATTTTCTGTGTTTTAATGGAAGAAAACAAACACTGAAGATCATTCTGAAGTCGTAATTTAAAAAATTTCCATCCGTAGATTAGTATCTCTAGACTATTTCTTCCCGAAGATGGCTTGCATTAAAAATAGGGTTAGGGTTAGGGAATTTGGAGATACATTTATAAGGTGAAATTTGGGCCGAACTGTGGTCATTTTATTAATTTACAAAAATATTAATTCTTCCTCGTCTATGTGTATAAATGAGAAGTAATGAATGAAGGAAGTTCTGGCTGCAAGCAGGTGCAGGTATCACTTCTGAGTTTCTGAACTTTGATAAATTATTCATCTCTGGACTTCAGTGTTTTTATTTGCAAAATAAGAAGGTCAGACCTGAGGAGGACCAAGAGCCCTTTTCTAGTGGGCCAGGACTTTAATTGCATAATAAATAGAAGTCAGTTATAGTCCTAAATGCTTCAGCATTTTTAACAGGATCGTAACACAAGATATGCTGTTTTTAATGCCACTCCGTTACTATTCTTATAACTTGGGAAAGAATGGTATTGGTATTGTGTTCCATAACGCATTGGTTCCCACAAAACCTTCAAGTAAACAGTCTTCTGTAAAAAGAGGCCACGTTATGTTCCCTAGGGAAATTGAAGTGACTTGTATGGTGACTAAGGAGTGATCATTTCTATCACTCCCTCAGTCCAGCGCCCTGCATTTCCCATGGGAATGAACTGCAGTCATTTCCTCCCTATCTTCCTGCTGACACAGTGCTCTGCCGCCCCCTACAGTCTGTTCTTTGAGCAGCACCCACTGCCATCCCTACCAAACAAAGATCGACTCACCCACCTGTTCATCATGCTTAGGGCTTCATTCAGATCTCTATTTGCATTACTCTTACAAGAGGCCTTCTCCACTACTCAGTCTCAAATAGTGCCTTGCGTCATTCTCTTTCCCTTGGCTCCACCTCCTTACTATTAATACCTGCCTCTAGCTGTGTCTATGTCCACGCCCGTGCCTATGTCTGTGCCACATCCATCATCGTAACTGCAACCCTTTCTCTAAACACACCTGTATCTACATGCATAGCTCTGTCTGTACCCACGTGCATATCTATAACCATGTCTATATCTGAAATATGTGTGTGTTGATTTGTACTCCTGAACTGCACTCCATGAAGGCAGAGACTTGGTTTGGCTCATTAGTCATCTCAGTGTTTGGAAAAATGCCTAATATATATTAGGTTGGTGCAAAAGTCATTGCAATGTTTAGTCGTTCCTTTTTTTTTTTTTTTTTGAGACAGAGTCTCATTCCATCACCAGGCTAGAGTGCTCACTGGCAACCTCCGCCTCCCAGGTCCAAGCAATTCTCCTGCCTCGGCCTCCCAAGAAGCTGGGACTACAGGCGAACACCACCACACCCAGCTAAACTTTGTATTTTTAGTAGAGACGGGGTTTCACCATGTTGGCCAGGTGAAATTAGTTGTTTCTTTTAATGGCAAAACCACAATGACTTTTGCATAGGAGCTCAATAAATATTTCTCAAATGAAGGTGCAAATGTTGCACAGTTTCAGTCAGCCTTGGCTGGGATTCAGATTGGGGCTCTTTTAGATTGTGGACAAGTTATTTAATTGCCACGAGACTTCATTTGCTCATTTATGAAACAAAAATGTCATCATCTATCTCAAAGGTCTGCTGTGAGAATAAAATTAGATATTGTAATGAAAAAGAGCTATCTCAGCCCTGGCCAGCAAAAGCTCCAAGTTAAGGTCAATCTCCTTCTCCTTCCTGCTGTCTTGTTGAGAACATCCAGATTTTTATGCATTTTCTGGCTTCAAAGAGAAGCACACCTATTAATATTCGCTGCTGGTTACTTTGAAAGTCGGAAAACTGAGACTTCCCAGCTGCAGGAGATGACATCAGATAAACATAAACATGGCTTTCCACAGGAGGGACTGTCCCAGTGCAGAGCGGCTTTACTCGACTTTAAGCATGCTGATGGTAAATGTTCTCCCCCAAAGAGCAATGGTGGTTTATTACTTAATTTTAGAAGTAGACAAAACGTGAGAGTTAAGGACTGCATTTTTACCACTCCATAGCACCAGCTGAAGCATTTTCCCTGTCACCTGACATAAGTGACACTATGTCACGAATTAAAACTTTGAAGAAGGCTTCTTTCTTTTTGTGGTTAAAGACCAAGTACTTTTCCAATGGAGAATGCATTTCCCTTGGAAATAGTAACCACTCTACTGAAGGAAAAGATCGGCACTAAGCATCTGCTAAGAGTTTCATACCCATCATTGTGCATTCTGTTCCCATCAAACCAAACGTCATCTGCTACCTTGATGCTGTGTAACCAGCCCCAGGTCATGTGGCTAATTACCCGTGGGTCCTGGAATCCATCTCGTGTCTGTCTGACTCTGGAGACATGTTTTGAATTGGTTTTTTTCCCTACTTGACTCTGGAACCAGGGAAGGTCCCAGTCACTGCCCTGTGATACCTCAGGTGATACAGAGCCCATCTCTACTGATGGTTCTATCAAAAAACAAAACAGAAACGGAAACAGAGAGACAGAACACCAAGCATGTGTAGTGTTATATTTGTGGAGTGCTTTGTTGTTCACTAACGGGTCCTTTATCAGTCATTTCAGTTTTTCCCGGGTATAAAGTCACAAGATTTCACATCACTTTTCAGAGAAGCAGAAGTCATATGGACTTAAGGTCCCAATTAATAAGGAGCAGAGACCGGAATTCCTCCCTCTGCTGGTAGATCCTTGTTCTTTCCACCATTCTCTGTGGCCTTCCTGAAAGAACTTTCATCTCATAGTTACAGACTTACTTATGCATTTGCTGAGTATCTTCTAACAGCCAGTCACTCCAACAGCTGCTGGGAACACACAGGGCCTGAACTAACACAGACAAACTTTCTGTCCTCACACAGCTTTCATCCCCAGGGAAAGAGACGACAATAAACGAATAAATGTATCTTTATAGTAGAATGATTTATAATCCTTTGGGTATATACCCAGTAATGGGATTGCTGAGTCAAATGGTATTTCTAGTTCTAGATCCTTGAGGAATCACCACATTGTCTTCCACACTGGTTGAACTAATTTACACTCCTACCAACAGTGTAAAAGCGTTCTTATTTCTCTACCACCTCTCCTGCATCTGTTGTTTTCTGACTTTTTAATAATCACTATTCTGAATGGCATGAGATGGTATCTCGTTGTGGTTTTGATTTGTAGTTCTCTAATGACTACTGATGATAAGCTTTTTTTTTTATGTTTGTTGGCTGCATAAATGCTTCATTTGATGTGTCTAAATGTACATTTGGTAACTCTAAGAAGTTGTAATGCTATAACAAAATCATATCTTAGGCTGGGCAAGGTGGTTCATACCTGTAATCCCAGCACTTTGGGAGGCTGTGGACAGTGGATTATTTGAGGTCAGGAGTTCAAGACCAGACTGGCCAACAAGGTGAAATCCTGTCTTTACTAAAAATACAAAACTTAGCCAGGAATGGTGGTGGGTGCTTATAATCCCAGCTACTGGGAAGGCTGAGACAGAAGAATTGCTTGAACCCAGGAGGTGGAGGTTGCAGTGAGCTGAGATCACACCACGGCACTCCAGCCTGGGCAATGGAGTGAGACTCTGTCTCAAATACACGTATATCCAAAAATTGTAAAAGTTGTTGTTTTTTAAATTCAAAGATATCTACATGCTTTTAGAATCAATAAAGTTACTATTACCTGAAAAAAAATACATAAGACATCAGGTGGTGTAAATGTCACAGACAAGTCAAGTTTGTGAGGGGATAGGAGTATAAAAGGGACGGGATTGAG